CTTGTTCTTCACGAGATAAACCACCAATAACTGAGACAACAATTATATTTAATGGCTAAAAAAAAAATATCTATTCAATATGTACATTCGAATAAATATGAAATTCATACTTTTCCAAATTTAACTGCTTCTTCTTCAATTTGTTGTGCTAATTCACGAGTTGGTGCTAAAATAAGTGCATATGGTCCATTATCAGCATCAAGAGTTCTTCAAAAAAAAAAAAAAAAAGAATAAAATGTACATTTTTATTCATTATATTCATAAGAAAATCATCTTACCTATCAACTGGTGGTAATGATCGAATCCAAGCCAATAAAGGTATAAGAAATGCTAAATAAATATTATAAAAACATCAATTCAAAAAAAAAGAACAACAACAAATCAACAAGAATTAATTTACCTGCTGTTTTACCAGAACCAGTTTCTGCAATACCAATTACATCTCGATTTTGTAAACCAATTGGAATAGCTTGTCGTTGAATTGGTGTTGGCTCCTAGAGAAAAGAAAACAATTAAACATTTATTAGCACAACTCCTTTGAGCTTGAAATATGGAACTGATATGTGTTCTTTAGTTTCACATATACTAATACAGAATAGGTTAAGTGAAACATCTCTAACAGATTATTATGGTTTTCCTTATTCCACCCATTGAAATTACCTTATAACCGGCAGCTTTAATAACATCAATAATGCCTTTTTCAAGTCCAGCTTCATCCCATGATCGTAATGGATGTGGAATATTTCCACCTCTTGTTGTTATATTATAATCTTCTTTGAAAATACGCCAATCACGATCAGCCATTTCTTCTAAAGTTTTATCAGACCAATGACGTTCATCATAACGACGTTTTTCATCTTTTTCTCGATCAAATTTAAGACGAGCTCTAAAAAAATAATGAATAACAAAAAAAAAAGCGTTCTTCGTTTTTTTTTCTTTTATATATGTATATAACTTACGTTACTCGATCTTTTTCTCCTTGTGTACGTCGTTTTTCAAGTAAATCACCATAGAATTTCGATTGATCTTTTTTTTGTTTATTAATATCAATACCAGCAATATGACCACGACCAAAAAATTGTATTTGATGTTTTTCTTTATAGATTGGATTATAATCAACAGCTGTATCTTCACCAGCATCCCAGTCAAAAACAAATTTTCGATCATTTAAACGACGAACTTTACGTTTTTTCTAATGAAAAATAAAAAAAAGAACGGATAATTTTTAAAGAAAGAACTTTCATTGAAAAAATAAATTTACTTTAACAATGCCAAGATATCGTTCTTTGACAGCTGCTTCTTCACGTTCTTCATCAGCATCTAAAAATCATGAACAAAAAACAAAAAAAGAAAATTATGTCAATGAGAACAATAAAAGAATTACTTGAAGTATTTGGTCGCTCTGTTGGTTCTTCTTTTTCACGTCGATGACGATCGCGTTCTTTTCGTTCACGTTCTCGATCCTCTTTTGCAGCTGTTTGTTCAGCTTCCTTATTGAATGAAGAATATTTTTTACGCAATTCATCATTACGTTGACGAATAGCGTCAGCTTCTTCTTGTCGTCGTCGTAATGCTGCAGCTTCACGTTCTTCTTTAGTTATAAATTTGGGCTGAAAAGAAGAAAAAAAAATCGATTCATATCTCATACATAATAGTAGTTATCGACATAGATATTATTAGATACTGAACTAGACATATGTTGTTTAGTATTATTACTGATGAAAACTGACGATAGCTAACGAGGAAGCTACTCGAGTTGTAACTCGTCATTTGAGCTCATTTTGAGTCCTCAAGAATATTTTTTTTGACAAATAATCATTTTTTACAGCTGAAACTTTCATAATATTCCCCGAAGCATTAGACCTATCTATGAATTGATTTTCAGATCGAAATTTCATCATTTGATTTGTCAGTAAATAATTTAAAAATGAATAGACCCAAATCCAGAATCCCATGGTCACGAATCGTTTTATGAATTTTCTAGTCTTGACGATACTTTCTTTTAAATCCAATTTGAGTTCCACAAAATAAGATAGATGTCTTAAAACATTTCATTGCAAATACTAATACATTTTTATAGCAGAAGCGCTCAGATGACTGTAGAAAGAAGTGAGTCTTTTTGTGCCTCTCATCCTCCTGACTCCGCCATGGTGGGATAGTTCTCTCGAGAGATCAAATACGATTGTATATTATTAAATCATCTATATTTGCATAATAACATGAATTAAAAGATAATCGAAAGAATCAACTGAGCAATTTCTGTTACTACTTATTTTATCTTAAAATTGATTTGTTTAGTGTTGTTTTCTTTCTCATATATTCCTTATGAAATCTCATTATAATTATTTCGTAATTAATTGTGAAAATACTGAATCTAAGAAAACTTCAATAGTAAAATTATTATTTTAATTACTTTTGCAATTGCTTCTTGTTCTTTCTTATTTTTTTCAAGCATTTCTTCTAATGAAAGTGGTACACGTTTTGTAGTAGTTGTTCCATTAGTTTCATTATTATTTACTGTTGTTGTAGTTGTTGTTTCATTAATTGTTGATTCTCCTTCTTCAATATCATCCTCATTTTGTTTTTTTACTTTATTAACTTCATCATTTTTTCGACGTTTTGAACTAAAATAAAAAAAAAAATAAAATAGAAAAAATTCAAATTAATCAAATTTACATACTCAGGTGATTTTGATCGTTTAGGTGATGAATGTCGATGTTTTTTTTCATTACCATCACGATGTGATCGATGATGACGATGTTCTCTATAAAATGAAATTTAATAAGTATTTAGAAAAAAACAAAAAAACAAATTCAAGTAATATACCTTTCTTTACTTGTACTTCTATGTCGTTTTTTTACATCACGAGACGGTGATGTAGTTTCAACCATTATTTATCTGAAATAACAAGAAAAAAGTATATATATATATCTATATTTTTATCTATAAATAATTAATTCAATATTATGAAATATCAAAAATATTAAGTAATTTCGCTCGTGTCATTTCAAGTCCTTCATTAACTCCTAATTCATATGTCATATTATGTATATCACGTATTTTGTTAACAAGTTGAACAATTGAAAATGTTTTTAATTCTCTAAACATATAATCAGCTTCATCATCATTTAATTCATGATCTTGACCATATAAAGCTGTATCTAATATTTTATTTGAAAGATCTTTTCCAGGATTTTGTTCAATAAGATCATATGGTGAAAATGCTTGATCAATCCATGAATGATTATTATTTCGATTTGTCCAATTTGTAAAATAAGGATCCATCTAGAAACAAAACAATCCTTTTTTTCTTTTTTTACTCTTTAGTTTCCTTTTAGTTAACGGGAAAATAAGGGAGAAGAAAAACAAAAGCAAAATAAACAAAGAACCAAATGTTTTTTTTGTTCAATCAGTACCTAAAAATAAAAGAGAAATGAAAATATGAAAATCTGAACTTTGTTTTTTTTTTTCTTTTTTCTTACCAAAATATTTTTGACCAAAATGATTCGGTGCAACAGTATTAATTTCTGAAATAACAATTGTTATATCAGGATAAAGTTTACAAATCTGTTTAAGTCCATCAGGTGTTGAAAATAATGTTATTAAAATCATATTTGATTGTTTACATTGATATTCTTTAATTAATACTTCAAGACCAGTAAGAACTGTTGAACCAGTTGTTATTACGGGATAAGCAACAAGAAGACGACGTCGATTAACATCCGATGGTAATTTAGCATATATAACATGACCTTCATTGATTAAAATTTTACCAATTCTTATTGATCTATGAAAAAAACAAACAAACATTATAGGAACATTGTAAATAATAATATTAATATTAAATATTGCAATATGTGATACTAAAATAAGAAATTTAAACTATATTGAATAGAAATCGAAAGTAAGAATGATAGAAATAACAATTTGATCTTTTGCAAGAACACTATAGCAAATACGTTTGGTAACATATGTTAACCAATCGAATGTATGAATGAGCGTGCAATAGGAGTGGATGTTTCAGTCTCGAGTAATATTTCATTGAGCTAATGGTTTTAGTGTAGCTTCAACAAAGAAGAAATGTCATGAAAAACAAAAAAAAAGAGATCTTCATGAATTGTATTAGATTGAAAGAGCATCCGAATATCTAAGAATTTCGAGTATGTTATTCGAATTTCTGCATTTCATCATACATTGAATGATACAAGCTAAAATTCATTTTATTAAAATACTCTCAATGAAAATTTCTAATTGGAATTAAATATCCACTCTTAAAATAGGAAACAGTTTTTTTCTAATTTTTTGTATCTGATGACTGGCGCATCTTACACATCTTTCAGACAAATAAGGTCATCAAGTCCAAAAATTTCGGACTCGGATTCTAGATGTGTATGAATGAAGGCAACCTCCTTATACCAATATCGTCCGTTTACTATCCTCATTGTGTGTCAGCTAATGTTTTTTATTTTAAATTTATTTTAGAAGTCAAAAAGAAATTAAAACGAATAGCTTATACCTGTAGTCATCAATGCTAATATTCAAATTTCTTGATCCAACCTAATTCATAAAAAGTATACACTTCATTTCTCTATTTTTTTATATTATTAATATAAATTAATCCAATTCTTACATGTTTCATAATATAAAAAAGATTAGAAGAAAAAAATGTAACAACACCAAACTCATAGGCAAATGATGTGGAATTCTATAGGCGAAAAATTATTAAAATGGTAAAGAAATATGTGAGAAAAATTTCATCGTTAACCATACCGATAATAAAGTTTTCCCACATTAACTATAACAAAAACACTTCAAGTTAAACTAAAGATAATTTCAAATATCTCTGTTCTAGTTTTCTTTTATTCTTAAAACTTCAATAATTTAACCACAAGACAATCTAATTTTAATTGAATTTATATTCCTTGTTTTTTTACCTACAACATTCACGAATGCCTTTTTCCATAGCTTCTCCACTTCTCATTAATGATATACATAAAGTTCCTTTTTCATGTCTTAAACCTTGAAAACAATTTCCAGTTGGTGTTATAACATCATATCGTACATATGGTAATTGATCTAATGCAGCTTCAACAGTTAAACGTATAAGACGATCAGCATAGAATTTAAAATCATTTCGACATGTTGTACGATCACGTAATAGTGTATGAAGTTCTCGTAATTGATTATTTGTTTTCATAATATGTACATTTTCAGGAAATTGATTATCATTTATTTCTTCATGTATACCATTCTCTTCTATTATATGATTAATATTATTTTCTATTGTAGTCATCTAAAAACAATTCAACATAAAAAAATAAAAGTAAATTTCCATTTTGCTCGTATAAATAAATTTTTTGAAGAAATTTTTTTTTTCTTTATTTTTTCGGTTGTCCATTAATGGTTACAACAATATTTCGACTTCTAGCACGATTTCTATGTTCACATAAATATATACCTTGCCAAGTACCAAAAGCTAAATGTCCCGATGTAATAGGAATATTAATTGATGCACCAAGTAAAGAACATTTTGCATGTGCTGGCATATCATCTTTACCTTCATCTAAATGTTCATAGGAATTATCTTCGGGTACAAGTTTATTGAATATTGTTTCCATATCAACACGTACATCAGGTGCAGCATTTTCATTAATCGATAATGATGCACTTGTATGTTGAATAAATATATTCATTAAACCAATTTCAATTTGTTTTATTTCAGGTATTTGTTGTAAAATTTCATTTGTTACTAAATGAAAACCACGTTTTTTTGGTGATAATGTTAGAATTTTTTGATACCATGCCATCTACAAATTAAAGATAATCTTACAGAATTTTGCCTAGATTTAAAAAAAAAATCGTCTTCATATACACATCAAGATAATCATAATAGTCAATTATAGTTTGTTTGTAAAAGAAGGAGACGACAACAAAAAGAAAAAAGAAAAGAAAAACTAAGTTTCATAACAGGCACACAGAGTAGAATTTAAGAAGCACAAAAAAACAAACAAAATTTCAATTGCTATGCATTATTGCACATAAATCGTGCGACAAGAACGAAAAACAAAATTTTATCACTGTTGGAATGTCATTCATAAATGATTAAAACAGTTTACACAGTTCGTCGATCAGTAAGAACACGTACAATCGAACCGAGACCAGTAGCTGCAAGAACCTTTAATGAAATAAATTTAGAAAAAATTTTTCTTTTCAAAATATACAATAGAATACCTTTTCGTGCCATGTTAATAAAGCACTACTTGAATAATCTTTTGGATTTTCAAAACCTTTATAAACATATTTCATCAGTGTATCACGTAATGGTACAGGTATTGAATTAACAGCATCTGATATTTCACTTGTTTTTATTTTCATCATTGTTGATAATGCCATATGAGCTGCTTTTTTCTATAAAAAAAAAAAAACATATTTATTTAATTAAAATTTTTGTATATTATCGATGGATGTATAAAAACAAAGAGATGTGTTCTATTTTGAATTATCTAATAAAAGTTATTTAATATGAACATAATTGGATGTGAATATTAAAAAACAAATTTCTTCTTCATATATTACGTAATTAACAAAAATATGATATTTTATAGATTTATGAAAAAATTTCAAGAAAAAGAAAACATTGAAGAGACAGCCTCATTAGCAAGTAGCACTAAAAGATGTATATAAACTAGTCAAAAAACTTGGCATCGGATTTTTTAGTCATGATGTACGTTTTCTGATTATAAGAATTTTTATCTATGATTTCATTTAATTTATAATCATGGAGTGTTTTTTTTTCTTGCTTATATTTTTGTAATACAAAATATATATTGAACGCATGATACAACAATGAATCTTATTGGAATTCGAGTGAACTTTAGTTAATTAACAAATGTTCACATGTACGTCGGAATCATCGAATCACATAAATAGTAGTCGGAGGTAACTAGCATATATGATCAACATACTCTACTGCTCTTCATTAGAGCATAATTGAAAGATGAGCAGTGTCATCTAATATTGTATACTTATAGCAATGTAATGACATTGACTAAGGTCGTTGTGGAACTCTCGTAATTGTGTCAGAATCAACATAAGATTACAAAGTGAAGAATAATTGTTTTACATCTGAAGATAATTGCAAGACTCGGTAGATATCTTATTGGAAACATCTAACTAAACAAAAAAGAAAACAAACTTAATTCCAAACATACTTTTTTTTCTGGATCTTTCGCACGCACTGGTGCATTTTGTAGAACATATTCTAAAGCACGAATATATTTCATACTAAAACGAAGTAATTCCAAAAAAGCAAAAAATAATTATAATCAATAAAAAAATAAAATAAACATACTCATCAATAAATTTTTTCCATTCATTTTCATCTGGTTCAACAATATTTGTTGATAAATCATCATCTTTATCATCAATATGATTTGTCATTTTTAATCTGAAATAAACTATGCATTTCAAGATCAAAAAAAAAAAAAAGAATTACAACAAAATTCATATCAGATGATTCTATACGCTTATTTTCACAAGCTAAAACTTCTACAGCAAAAAACAAAAACACAAAATGAATGTGTAAGAGATAGAAAAACAAAAATAAGCGTGTGTATATGTGTTAAGGAAATTGGAGGAAAGGACATGTCTTTTCTTTTCATGTGAAATTCTATTTTAACCTAAAACTTTTTTCCAATGTCGTTCTTCATCTTGTTCACGTTCAATTTCAGCAAGAAATGGTTGTAAATAAGGTACATCCTGTTCATATTGAACCCATTCATCTTTTGGTAAAAACATTCGTTTAATATCAAAATTAATTGCTCGTGATATACGAAATGAACGTTCATCCCATACTTCAGGTTCACTTATACGTAAACGACGCATAGCTTCTTTAATAGCAGAATTATCACCATAAAGTCGATCATGTTCCATGAGACCTAATTTATAATGATTTGTTTGATAATATTGAAATTTTCGATATTGTTCTTTAAGATTAGCTGGTTCACGACGAATTTGCTCGCCGAATATACGACGACCGAATTCCAATGTTGCTAAAAAACAAAAAGATAAAATTAAAAATATATGAATGAAGATGAAATATCTAATAGCTAACCTTTATTAACAAACTTTTGTGTTGTCATTGTTTTTTTTTTGATATATATATGTTATTTATCAAGAAAATAAATCTAGAAGAAAAAAAATATTCCCGTTACATATTGAGTTTTCCTAGCAAATTAGAGCAACTATAGGTGTAAATTGAAAAATTCTTTAATGCTTAATAAGTTTTATACTTTACTATTCTAATACGATAAATTAATGATAGCACAAAAAAACGGTTTTTGTTATGATCAATTCCACTTTCCTATGAAGCAAATTTTTGATCAATAAACAAAAAAAAAAGCTAAAAATGAGTCATTAAGAAAAAGAAAATACTATATCATTATTAGCGATATCTATCGGAATTTAATTAAATCATCGTTTGATGATTATTTTCTTAAAAAAAAACTTCTTAAAATTTCGAGAAATTATTTTTTTTGAAATTAAAAATAAAATTTTCTTTTTTTTTTGTATTTTTTTAAATATGATCTCATTGGTTAAGAAACTCGAAAAAAGAAAGAAAGCAACAAATAATTGTTTTTTCTGTTTGCATACCTGATTGTTAAACATGTTTTCACATTATTTTAATACATCTGGTGACATATCTTTAAATAATTCAAATATATTTCTTCTGATCTTACAACAATAGTAAGAAAAAAATCAATTGTCATTTCAACTAGAATAAATGAAACAGAAGACTTTTCATTTCATTTGGGAATATTTGATGATGAAGTTTAAAAAATCTTAAAAGACTTCTTTTTAAATTTAATACGTCGAATGTTTGAAGATGGTAAAATTATTTATACTCAATGACTCAAGTAGTTATTTAGTGTATGTTATTCATAATATCGAGTTAGCTATTCTGGTTTAATTGAGAATTATTTTCATTAATTTATTTAATTAGACATTTTTTTTATTCATCGATGATATGAATGTCAATGGAAGTAGGAACATTTTTAATAACACGCGTAAGGTAAGAACTATTCGAAATTTGAGTAAATCTTTTTCTCCCTATAAAAGTTCGAATACTTCATACTTACAATAAGTTTTGATCCTAAATAGTGACTGTACGATTTAATACCAGGGTTGTTAGTTGGTTTTGAATATGACCTCTTGTTTATTATGTTTTTCTGGCATCTCGAATAAAACCTACAAAATGCACTATTTTTTGTCTTTCAATCATGTATGTCAACTCATTTTTCATAAATACCCATTTTTAAAAAACCAACAACGGTTTCATATTGAAAGAAGCTCTTGAAAAATATACTTGTAGCCTCACTTGAGTGAATGCTATAGTTTAGATCAATATCATATTTTTGTAGAGAAATATCTATTTTACAAAGTGACTGCGTCCGGCAATTTCTCGCGTGTTCGAGAAAAGGCCTAAACAAAGACTTGTTAGTTCGCCATTAAAAGTCATTTTTCAGGTCTTTTCGAAAATAGACAAACTATTTAAAAAAATTCTGATCGCATCCTTTATTTTTTTTTGTTGCTGGTCTGAAATGCTTTCTAGCAAATTAAACTAAACAAAAAATGTTCACCGGGAACGTTGACATATAATTTCTATGCAAACGAATTTTTTGAACTTTTCAAAGATTATTTCACTACTCTCAAATAAAAAGTACGACAACATTTCTAGCGTCGTATTCAAAAAGAGCATCATAAATCATAGCTTTTGACTTGTTAGAAGTGAAGAAAAACTCTATGTAAAAAATCTTCCCGATCAATTATTATTAGATTAAATAAAATTTATTTTAATTGAATTAATTATTCTTTTTCAGGTATGATTGGTCTTTTCACAGCTGTCATCAAAACACGTTTTTCACTATTGCCATTTACAATGTTTTTGAGTAGTTCATTAAATCAACCTATTGTTTTTGGTATTGATTAAATTTGTTTTCAATTTGGGAATTTTATATGTTTCTCTTACAATACAAAATAAGAAAACAATCAGATAAAGCAATATTTTCATTGTTTTTCTTCTATATTATTTAACAGAGAATAAGAAAAAAATTATTTTTGTTATGAATTTTTAGTTTTTTAGATAATTCGTTCTTATTAAATCATGGCCGATGCTGGTTTTTTTAAAGGAACATCGGCTGAACAAGATAGTCGATTTGCAAATAAACAAAAGAAATTACTCAAACAAATGAAATTTCCAGAGAATATCGATACTAAAGTAAAATAGAATTTCACTTCCTTTTTCTCTAATATATTTGTTTTTTTTATTCTTATATAGATTGATATGTCGAAAGTTAATTTAGATGTTATCAAATCATGGATAACAAATCGTTTAGAAGATTTATTAGGTTTGGAAGATGATGTTGTTATTGAATTTGTTTTTAATCAACTTGAAGATAAAGTTTGTTTAGAATTTTTTTTTTTTTATTTGTAAATGTTTATTTAAATCTTTTTTATTTTATTAGAGTCCGGATCCAAAAATGATGCAAATTAATTTAACTGGTTTTCTTGGTGGAAGTAAAGCTCGATTATTTATTGGAGAACTTTGGAATTTACTAGCTAGTGCACAATCATCAATTGATGGTATACCAACAGAATTGGTTGAAATGAAAAAAAAATTTTTACAAAAACAAAAGGTATACTTTGTTTTTTTAATCGATATTTCTTTTTTTAATCAGAAAAGAATAATAACTGATTATTGGTATTGTCACGTATCGTATTATCGAATAAATCAGCAAGCATAAAGAAGTCTTGTTTAAAGGTGATTCAGTGCAAATGTTGGATACATCAAGCAAGAACAAGTTGCACATGAACAAATTGTCCATAGATGAAGAAAAAGAATCTTCAACAGTGGTGGCGCCACAGGAGAAGGGTTGAGCTTCTCCTTGAAAATTCTAAAAGTTCTTGTTTAGTGTGGTCCATCCGAAAGTCTGAATTAATACAAGTTCTCAAAGGATTTTGCATGTCAAATATCATGAGGTAAAAAGCAACAAGAAGTTTCGACATGATGTTCTCAGCATTTGCACATAACGTTACTTTCACACTAGAGTTCCAAAGCTAGTCCAGTTTTTAGGCATACGCTATCTCAAAACAAAATCATCTGTTTGTGATCAACGTTTCAGGATATTATAAGAGTCATGAGAGGAATTGTTGCCAAGAATGTCGAGCTAAAACTTCTTATTGCGATTCTTCTTGTGATGTCCTGCAATAGGCTGAAAGTTCAGTACAATAACGCAGTTTCATTCAAAACTCAATCACCTAGTGAAATCTCAATAGAAACCGAAGTTTTCTTAGAGTTTTTATTAGAACACTATGTAGTGTATCTATAGACAGGAAAGATTATTGAAACCGAAATGGGACATCTGACGAGGTTTCATCGTCAATCTCTTCTGGCGAAAAATCCTTGTTTCGCTACTAGTCTGTAATATTTTTGAATCAATAGATTTCATTTCATTTTATTTTTAGGAAGAAGATGACCATTTACGTGATACACGTAAACGTGAAGAAGAATCTTATCGTCATGACTCGAAAGGTGACAGTGATAAACTTAATGGTCGTAATCAAGTATCATCATCAAGTAGTAGATCACGTCATGAAAATGGAAATAATCCTGGATACAAATCACGATCAAATTATGATGATGATCGTCGTGATCGAAGACGTCCAGATAATCGATTTGACCGACGACGTTCACCACCTCCTCGAAGTCGTCGATCACCATCACCTCCATCAAAAAAACGTCGATCACCTTCGCCACCTTCTAAAAGTCGTCGACCATCATCTCCACCATCTAAAAAACGTCGATCCCCTTCACCACCACCCAAAAATCGTCGATCACCGTCACCTCCATCAAAGAAACGTCGATCACCTTCTCCACCTCCTAAAACTCGTCGATCGCCATCACCACCATCATCTAAAAAGCGCCGATCACCTTCAACTCCACCCAAAGGCCGACGTTCACCATCACCACCACCGAAAGGTCGTCGATCGCCATCGCCACCACCCAAAGGTCGTCGATCACCATCGCCACCACCCAAAGGTCGTCGATCACCATCGCCACCATCCAGAAAACGTCGATCACCTTCGTCACCACCGCCCAAGAGCCGTCGATCACCATCTCCACCATCCAAGAAACGTCGATCACCTACTCCACCACCGAAAAATCGTCGATCACCATCTCCACCATCAAAAAAACGTCGATCACCTTCGCCACCACCAAAAAATCGTCGATCACCATCTCCACCATCGAAGAAACGTCAATCACCTTCACCAGCACCCAAAGATCGTCGATCGCCATCTCCACCACCTAGAAAACGTCGATCACCTTCACCACCATTCAAAGGTCGTCAATCACCATCATTGTCATCCAAAAATCGTCGATCACATCATTCACGAAGTCCAGATCCAAGATCACGGTTAGTCAAATAATTAATTATTTTATACTTTCTAAAAATTTCTAATTTTAGACGTAAGGATATAAAACCATCACCAATTGCATCATCTGTTTCAAGAAAAGATGTTTACAAAAAACCTACACGATCTATTTCAAAAAGTAGTGAAAGTGAAGATGATCGTCAACGTCAATCTCGTTATGATAAATCTAAAAGAAATTCAACATTAAATCAACGTGATCGTCGCCATTCATTATCACAATCTCCAAAACATAGCCGAAGTCCAATGAAATCACGAAAAAGTGAACCAATAAAAAATCGTTCACCATCACGATCATCAGCATCATCATCATCGTCGTCATCATCTATGGAAGCACCACCAAAACCAATCAAAAAGCCTTTGAATCAAAAACCAAAACCTCGTTCACCATCAACAAGTTCAAATGCAAGTCAATCACCATCACCACGACGTCCAACGTCTCAACGTAATGATAAATTGGCTCGAAAAAAATCAAACGATTCATCTGATGATTATAAAGAAAAAAAACGACACAAAAGTAACGATTTATCGAGTGGTGATGATGATCAACAAAAAGATCAATCATCTAAACGTCCAATCGAAAAAGAACAATTAATATCAAAATCTAAACAAAAATCACCCACACCACCATCATCACGATCACCTTCTCCAT